AGAAGAGAAGAGAAGAGAAGAGAAGAGAAGAGAAGAGAAGAGAAGAGAATAACAGAGTTGGAAGGGACCTTGGAGGTCTTCTAGTCCAACATTTCAGTTATCTCAACCTATTTGAACTTGGAAGCTAAATATGACCATGTCTGACTAATACTTAAATATTTAAATAGAAGACCATCAATGAGTAACATCAAGTAGAATTATAAATTCCACTTGAAAGTATAAACATTCCCACCAAAATTTCAATGAGGAAAGCCAAATTATCTTAACAATTGCATGATTCATTTAATAACTGTAGTGATTTAATAATTGTAGTAACTTAACAGCCATGGCAAAAAAAAAAGTTTATAAAATTGTGCACAACTCATTTGACAACCATCTTGTTAGAACAGAAATTAAGTTCCCAATTATGGTTGTAAATTGAGGACTACCTGTATTTCACTTTTCACCTTGGGCTAGTCAGGCATCTTCCATAGGTCCTGATTAATTCCTATACTAAATACAATAATCTTCTTAACCAAGATTCTTAGAATTATGCAACTAAAGAGCTGGAAGTTACTTTGAAATTATCAAGTCCATCCCTTGTTTATGGCAGGATGTAGTAGAGTGTCTCTGAACAAGGACCATTCAGTCTCGTTTGGAAGACCACTGATGAAGGCGACTTCACCACTTTATATGGTAACCTTTTTTAGTAGTGTTTTCTTTGTATTATTGTTCTTTACTTTGTTTATAGGGGAGTACAAATGTATGAATTTGGAAAAGGGTTAATTGATACATATGATATTTTGAGAACATGGATACTCAGAAAAAATGGCTACTATAGGACTGATGAAATTGGTCCCTGATATCTTTTCTAGTTCTCTGGGACATTTATTGTTACCCCTTGTCTTATTGTTGTTTTTCCAGGGAGATATGAATATTTAAGAACAAATATTTTGAAATGGTTGTGCAAGCTATTTTTTGAATGGACATCTCCTCAATGGCTATTATGCAACAGCATCCATCTAAACAAGCCCATCATGCCAAAAATTATGGGTCTTAGCTGTGGTTAATGATTAGATGGAATTGGATTCTAAATTGCAGATCAGTTGGTATTATGTGCATTATGGTTGGAGTGACATAGCTTATTATCTATAAGATCGAAAGGAATCCAGACAACTTTATATAATAGTCAATCAATCACAATATCTCTATTACTGGGTTTAGTCCAACAAAACTAAATACATTTAAGCAATCTCACTGGGTTTCTTTCATACTAGCATTCTCTAATTTGGTGGTGTTGGATTTTAAGAAACATAGGACCAATAACTAGCGATAATGGAAACTGAAATCTTATGTATCTGCAAGCATCACATTGGAAAAGGCCAATTTAAATAGCTGTTTACTATTATGCTTACCTTCAAGAGGAATGCCATTCTTTTTCCATTTTATAGTTGGCTCAGGAAAGCCAATAGCTTCACAAAACAGTACAAAACTTCCACCAACACTGAAAACTCCACTTTTTGGTTTGCTTATCCAAGTGGGTGGCTCTGTTGAAAAAGTAAATACCATTTTAGTCACTATTGGGAAAACTACCATAAACATATACATACACACCCATAACCCTGATGCAACAATATTGATATGGCATGCTAACTGCATTTTTCCCTGAAGAAAGATAATCTATTCATACGAATCATGCTTTAATTAACTCCTATTTATACACTATAAATAAGACTACTGGAAACAATGAAGAATGCAAAATGTAGAGGCTAGACTTTTGCATAACTGTAGACTATTTTACTTTTTTACTTTTTGCTTTCAGGTTTTGTTTGCATACTGTTCAAAATGTTCATTTTGACCTACAAAATTTTGACCTCTAGTTAATTTGAAACCAAATTATTTGTTCCTGTATTTTATAGCAAAATTGCAATTGAAGAACTCTAAAGGGAAATGAGATGGTTTCTTTCTACTTTAGGCAAGTAGTAAAGAATCTGATACCATCAGAGTTTCAGTGCTATAGAAAGTTGTATACTTATTTTTTTTTCATTTTAATTAAAAAAAACCTGTCTCACATTGTGTTTGCTTGACATGCTGTTTGCTTTTATGTATCCAGTTTCATTATATTTTTAAAATTCTAGATGTGTAGAAGACATAATGACAAATGCTATGTTTAGTAACTAGATAAAACGAAGAAAACATAATGTGAAAAAAGAGTTGTAAAGAATTTTTTTTACAAAATCAGAAACTGAGCTCTATGCATATCTAAAGTTAAAACAAAGGAGATACTGTGAAAGAGGGTAGAAATCTTTACTATAAATATTTCACTGAGAAAGAACTAAAGCAAGAAAAGTAAGTAAGTAAGTAAGTAAGTAAGTAAATAAATAAATGTATAGCAGGTCGCAAACCTTAATAAAGTTATTCTACTCTACTCTACTCTATACCCTACCCTACCCTATTCTACTCTACCCTACTCTACTCTGGCAACATTGTACCAAAATCTATTCTGCTTTCCTAATAGTTTGGTCTTCCCCTTCCCCCCTCCCCCGGTGAAAGAGATGTTATATCTCCCAATTTCCCCAACTTCATCCTCATTTCCTCATTTTGCAACCTGTCTGGCATGTCTTTTTTATGAGGGCTGATCAGAAAAAGTTTCAAGGAAGGTTTCATACAGATCCCTGATGAATTGAATGTACCACGAATGACAAAAAATAGTTGCACTTCATCAACTACAGTATAACAAAGGAAATGGAAGAGTTTATTATTATGCGAATGTTATTTCTAGGGATTTTTTTTAAAAAAAGGAATTGTGTTATCACACTGAATGAGAATATTTCAAAAACTGCAGAAGAAACGTTCAACATAGCTGAATCTGTCAGAGTAAAAGAGAAGCAAGGAAAAACAAAAGAAGCATCATACAGTATGTGACTATATTTCCATTAACCAGCAGATGGCACTCATGCAATTGAGAAAAAAAAACAGGTCAGCAAGACCAAGTTCACCAATCCTTCAGTTTTGTTTAACTAGGCTATTCGTTATCCCCTTCTACCACGAACCCCTCTTCAGAACTTCACTAATTACACCGTGTCTACAATTTATTGATGATTTTTTTTCACGATACTGGAAAAGGAAAAGAGGAAATCAGTTCCCCATAGTCCTTTGAGTTTACAAGTGCATCATGAAGATCACAGACAGAAACTGAAAAAGAAGTTTTCACCTCTCTGTAATAGCTACTATTGCCAATTTCTGCTTAGTTAAAGTAGGATTTTCTGCAACATGAGATCTATTCTTTCTATTAGTCTGTGATTTATCAATGGTTGATGCATCAGATTAGGAACTGTGAGTTCTAGTTCTGCTTTAGTCATGAAAGCCAGCTGAGTGACTTTGGACCAATCATTCTCTCTCTCTCAACCCACCCCACTTCCCAGTATTTTTGTTGGGAAAATAGGAAGAGGAAAGAGTATTAGGTATATTCACTGCCTTGAATTTTTTATAAATAGAATAAAGATGGGGTATAAACAAACAAACAAGAAAGATTACTGATCATTACAGAACATTAACTCTGGACAGTATACAAGAATTAAATACAACAATTTAACTACAACCATAGGGCACAAAAACAACCTGACACACCCAAAAAAAGAACAGAACAACTTCAGAGTTTGCCTAGCGACCTTGCTCAGATGCCTGGAGGAACACCTAAATCGTTTATGGCTAGCATTAAAGATTTTGGGCTATCAAGATCTTTAAGAGGATACTATTCCATAGGGAAAGTACTGCCACAATGCAGGCACAACTTCGGGATGCCACAAAATGTCATTTGTTTAATGCAAGATTTAATGGAGTATATCCTCCCTGCTGGAATTGGTGGGGTGAGCATAGACAATTGGAGATGGTGATCCTACAAATAGCCTGCTGTAATCCAGGTAGGGCTCCATAGGTGAACCTGAATCACAACTGAAAGCCTGCTGAGAACACATCCCACCTGCCATCAAGCTCTGATATATAGTAAAACTTTTTTCCCCTCTATCAATGGAATCTGAACTCAAATTATAAGCCTTACAGGAACAATGGTGTTATTGTGTGGAAGTCCATTTAGCCAAAAAGGCAGAGCTGCAAGATAATAAAGCCAACAGTCTTAAGAACCATTGGTGCCAGATGTGAGCCAATCATACACTGATATATCTTGGCTGGAGTTTTGCCACCCAGAGTGAAAACAAAAACACAGCTTACTTGGCAAATTGTTGTATATGATTGCAACATTGTGTCTTGTTGCTCCAGATTGTTTGATCTGCCTAATCATTTTGACACCTGATTAAATGCTGACTATATTTCTATTTTGATTTCCTTCTGTACTGCTGGCACTAATGCTTAGACTAGATTTGGATTACCACTATTTGGGTTCTCCGCTATTTGATTAATCCAGTTTTGCAAATTTGGATTACTTTTGTGATTAGTCCCTTGTGGTGAACTGATTGCTATAGTTTGCCAGGGAATGATACCTATTTTCAATATCCACACAATACAAGAGATTATTGGATTAATATTCCAATAAATTATATTATCCTACTTGGAATTGCCTATATTCTTAGACACTATCTTAATAATTCTTAGATTCTTGAATTATTAAGTTACCGGTCTTAAGACTATAAATATAGCTGTAAATTATCCACACATAATAATTATTAGAATTGAAGCAGAGACACATCTACTGTGTAATACCCCAGACTTAACAAACAAACAAAAAATCCAGATAGTAGTTCTGGCAGGACCTAGGGGCAGCAGAACAGAAAAGATGGGAATCACAAAATACAAAGACTGGCAAATAGAAGTAGAATGTCTGTGGCAAAAGAAAGGAAAGATAGAACTTACAGTAATAGGTGCCTTGGGTACAATCCCAAAACACCACTTGAACACACCACTGATCAACCTTGACAAAATCACCATCCGTCAATCACAAAAGGCGGTTTTACTTGGAACAGTTTACTTTCTGTTATGGTACCTTTAACACCAGCAGACAACAGCATCTGCCTATCCCAGGTTCTTAGGAACACTCAAGTAGATGGATAACAATACCAAATCCAGTCTAAATATCAAAGCTGACTGGGCCACAAACCAAAAGAATAATCCATTATAGATATTTGTTTATTAAATGTATAGGCTGTTCAAGTCCGCTATCTCTTTGGATGGCAAACTTTTAGTGAAATTTTCAGAGAATTAGAGATATTTTCAGAAAGCAGCAGAATAAAAGACGTTATCTACAAAGAACATGCAAACCCAGCAGGTTTCTTTAGTAGAAGAGCAAATATAATAAGAGTATAATTGTTAGGGTGAATGACACTACAAAAGCATTGCCAATACAATAAAATAAGTAACCTAAGGTGAGTTTGAGTTCTCTTCCATAAATGATTTGTTAAATAAATATTTGCTGGAACTCTATTTTAAATCAAAATCTCTATTTTAAATCTCCCATTTTAAGGCTTCTGGCAGGTATAGAATTAGGATCTTGTGAGTTGGCATCAGTGGTGGGATTCAAATAATTCAACAACTGGTCCTCTGCCCTAATGGTTTCTTCCAACAACCAGTTCACCAAATTGCTCAGAAAGTTAACAACTGGTTCTTCCGAACTGGTGCAAACTGGCTGAATCCCGCCGCTGGTTAGCATCCTGCACCTCTACTTTCAGAATTCCTAGATAGTATGTAGATAGCATGGTGTGATAGTATGTCATACTATAAATAGTATGACAGAGAATTCTCTTTTTTATATTGGGTTAATTATTAATTATCCCAGGAAGCTCACAGCATATTAAGTTGTGCTTTGTAGTGGTCGTTTCTTTATACCCATTAAAAATGGCTAAATAAAATGTAGCTCAAGAAGCAATTCAAAATATTCCTTGTTCTAAATGTCTGATCTTGTTGGTATATTAACTAAGCAAATTCACATTAAATTTGTCTTGTATAATTTCACAAAGCCCAGGAAAGATACAGGGTACAAGGTTGTCTATTTTAATAGAAGAGATACTTTAGAACAACAGCAACCCAGTGTAACTTGCATGGCGACCTGTCCTTGGATTATTTCAGAAATTTTCCACATGATAGTGAGAGAGGCTGAATTTACAATTCAAATTGATTTTGGAAATAATTGCCTGGGAAATCGCTATTGTATATATGTGTGGCTGTTTCATGCATTACATTTTCAGGGTGAAGAATTCAGACATGTTAAGTGCACACTAAAAAAAGAGGAGGGATGTATAGGGTGTCACTCTACGACTAGATGGTGGAATGAATCAAGTCTCCTTCAGGTGAACTAGATAGTAATTCTGTATTTATAAATACACAAAGTAACCTTGTGAAGTGCAATATAACTGAACAGAAGTTTAAATAATTCCAGAGTACAGAAATATGGGTACTAAGTAGTAATAAAGAGGGAGCTGAAAAGAGCTATTACTTTGGAGATATATCTTCTTTAAAACATTTCTGCTCACAGTGTAATTTTTACCCTGTCCACAAATGATCAAAATTAGGAAAGGGCTATCATTGTGGAGTCTAA